AGGTAAACTGCTTAATCATATTTTGTCGATCATTTTTGGAATGGATTTCTTCTCATGATGCTTTTATTTCTGTTTTTGGCTTCCGATTATTGTAGAGACTAGCACTTCATGGAAGTGAAACGATGATGTTTGAAGAAATATGTTTAGCTAATGAACTGTGACCAGCGATCTCATAAGACTCAGTGTTTTGTTTTTACTCTTTTGATAAAGACTCAAGTGTTTGTTTTGTTTTTACTCTTTTGATAAAACATGGAACTATGATCNGTGAACATCTTTTGTGTTTTAATCATAAGATTTAAGTTTAGCTACTTGTATTATTAAGATTCTCACCATTAAGTTATATAGTTAGATAATTAAATTATATAATGTAAAAAATACGGTAGTGTACAGGTCGATACTAGGGTATTTTCAGGGTTTTCAAAAACAGGGCTTCTTATATTAGGGTTTTTCAGGGTTAGGGTAGTGTATGGTAATCTTTAATAGGCTTAGAGAATTCGCGGTTAGGGTTAATATGTATCACCGATTTCTAGGTCGAATTTGAACTATGCGAATCTCTAAATCATTATTCATGGTTGCATCAGTTCTAAGTTATAACATAACGCCTTCTGAGATTGTTCGATTTCTTCTCATTGGAATTTTGTTTACTGATTCTGTAGGATTGAAAAGGAACACCCTTTTGGAGAGTTCTGTTTTGGTTGGATAGAGTATATTATCAAAGGACTCAATCAGGCTCACATAAAAATGAATGTATCAGCCTAACAGACAAGATAAACAAGAGAATGACATGGGTTACACTGCAGATGATGCAAGAACAGATAATTGCTGGTAATGATGATATGTGAAAGCTGCAAGAACAGATAATTTAAGACAATACTCTTTGGAACAAGGAAAGAAAAACACAAGTCAAGCCAAATGGAGGGAAACTAATGTTGCTGCTAGTTTTGTGTGATCACTTGCCTACGATCAGTTTGGCTCTGGCATCTCCTTGATTGATCTGGAACTGGTCTCCTAGTCCAAAATGAGCCATCAATAGCCAGACAAAGCTGATGAGTTCTCCACCTTTGCTTAGCTGAGCTGCGTGTTCTATAGCGCCACATTTAGTCGCTGCATAAGAAAGCAACTCAACCCACACTTGGCTCACCATGTTCCACATCTTTGCGTCGGCACTTTCCTTCTTTGTGCCCTTGTTCTCCTCTTGGTTTTGACGCTCCTTGTTATTCTCTGAGTCTTGGCGCTCCTTGATGATTATAAGCTCCCTGTACCTTCTAAGATCCTTTGCCAGCATGCCCCCATCAAACAGCACAGACTTGCTTCTATCACCTTTCACGTCGATAGGATCAGCTTTTGCTGGAGTCTTCACAGATAAAATTGCCATGCTGGCCTTCTCTGCATCTTCGATCTTTTCATCAGTCTCCGTGATATGCCTCCGTTGGAAGAACCTCTTAGCCTCCTCACACGTGTCTCTGAATCTTATCTTTCCAATACCCACGACAGCTGACATCAGAGTGGGTTGCATCATCAGGAGGTATATCATGTAGTCTGAAAGGATTTTACTGAACTCACGGTAGCTATGGTTGTCATTTGTGTCGGCTTCTGTTTGGTATAAGAGCTCAGTGGCAACATGCCACACGAGGAGGCTCTGATCGTAATCCATTTCCATCACATAGCGTAGAAGTTTGTCACGCATGTTTGCTATTTTGTCGTCACCACTTGGTATGTCACGCAGAGTCCAGTCACCTCTAGCTGAAGATACCCGCTTGGCGCTTTCTGAGCCATCAGCGAAACGGGATTTTTTTTTAACCTCTGTGAAGATGTGTACCCACATATCCATGGTGAGACGATCACTGGATGTGTAGAACACCTCCTCTAGCTGAGCTTGGATCCCAAAGAAGTCCATGAATTTTCTTATCAGATATCCAAGTAGATGAGGAATCCAAAATGTCCAGTAGATGCACCACCTAAGACGATCTTCAGTTATCAGTTTTCCATTCTTGCACAAAAGACTTATCTTAAGGTCTAACCACTTGTAAGCCTTATCACTTCCCTTTTTTATGGCGTTGAAACAGAGTACAATTACTTTTCGAATTCCTTCGAAGACGTATCCAACGAGAGAGTATTTGATAAACCAGTCAAGCAAGGTGCGAAATAAACCTTTGGTATGGTGGATTCGCTTCGGCTTTAACCCTAGGCAGTATTCGATCAGGTTGTGTGCATGTACGTACTCAGACCACCTGCGAACCAGGAACCTCGTGTCCAATACTTTATGGCACGTTTTACATTTGTGCTCCTCGTTCTTCAACTTCATGAAAATGAGCATCGAATTTAAATACTTGACGAACCAGTTAACTTCATCTGCCTTGTTCGCTTCATCACACGGTGTACACTTGGTACCCTTGGTACCCTTGAAGCATTTGTACATCTCCGTCTTCAACTCCCTGGCCCCTAGAAACCACTCAAGAATCCAGTTAAGCACTTTATCTTGCCATTGGTCTTCATCGTCCACCTCGTCCTTCATCTTCCTCACTCTGACAAACGTCCAGTCAGACAGACAGAACATAATAAGAGCAATGCAATCCAGAGCTATTCCTCCTATCAGCAAAGCATAAGTAAGGCCAACATCAAATCCATCATATTGGTCCTTCTTCTTGTATGTGAAGATGCGGAGAGCTTCTACAAGGCATCCCAGGGCAATGAACCTGAAGCCGACTCCTATCCAGTTATGCAGAATCTCAGCTTTCGTGTAAAGAGCTTCGTAGATGAAGTTGAGCTCAACCTCTAAGATTCTTAGAGCTTCATCTGCGTCAAGTGAGCTAAAGAATCGCTTGCTCTCAGCTCGTTCTTGAAAAGTAAAGATGAGATCAACCACAAGACCTTTGAAGATATTGAAGTACTTATAAGCGTACTGGAGAATATTGAGGTGGGTGAAGTAATCCGGCCTAACTTCAGCATCGTCTCTTGGGTCTTTCTCGGGCTCTTCAATCTTGATGATCTGTGTAGGCATCTTCATAATCTTCTTAGCCTCGTATTCCTCCATGAGCTTTGCGTAGTTTGGTCCAGGATCAGGCCGCTGAATCATGGAATCCTTAAACTTGTCAAGACTTGCCAGGTACAACGCTAATGTCCTCTCGACATACTTGATGATTCCTGTCGCAAACACCAGCAATATAGGTTTCCAAAGAGCGTTGGGTATCGATTGCAGAAACACGTAGACGGTTGCAATCGATTGAAAGGCAAGACCCAACAAGTGCCTGAGCCATAGCTCATTATCTTCAAGGGCAAGGGCAGTGATTGTATCTGGACCACCGAGATGCACGAGCAAGAAGGGAACCCAAAAGGCTAAGAGCTCACCATTCTTGGCCGGTTCTCCGGGCTCTGGATCGTCTCCTTGACTATCTGAGATTTGACCGGCGGCGAAATTGGCTGCCCAATCAGCTAGAAGGTAAGCTGACCAGATGAGAGAGAGCAAGATCTTGCTAGATGCGCGTTTCCTTTGAGGTGCAAAGAAAATGAGGAATGTTTGAAGGCTAAGACTGAAGATTAAGGTACTTCGGATACTCCATTCGTCCCAGATGTCCTTGATAGGCTTTGGGATTGCGTTCACCATCTTTTGAAACTGATTTAGTTCCTGATTCCTTGGAAACAGACAAAAAAATTATGGTTTTTCAGACACAACACAGATGCATCTAAAGAGGTTTGAC